TCTTCAATGTCTAGTCATCCAATAAGAAAGACTGGTGCTGAACTTTATATTAGCTTGGTGCAAAAATAATATCCGTTTTGAAAAGTTTGACTTTGAAAAGTTATAACTTTGTTCAGCCCTCATATTTTTGAATATAGTCAAGACCGTTGAAAGCAGCACGCCTTTCCTAACTTAGCGCACATTTGCTCATACTGAAAGCGCAAACGGAAAGAGAACCGTGCGTCAAAACACCGAAAGTCTTCTGAAGACCTCGTTAACCTTACAACTCCTTTCAAATTTTGTCCCTACAGCTGATGATCAGCTCATTTTGTAGCCACAAGCCAGTAGCATATGCATGTACAGAAAACAATTCAGGGAAAGAGCTCTGCGAAAAGAAAAGACGAATTTCTAAAATTGTCACCTTTTTGAGCCTGTTAGTGGTATTCTTGAAAGTCTCAGATCATGAAAATTTGGAATTCATGCACTGTATAGCTGAGTTTCTTTGCAAAAATTGTAGGCAAGATGTGCTAATTTTGAGCTTACAAAAATAAGCGTACTTTGGCGACTGCCCACGGAAAACTTTTGACTTGTAGAATGTCAGTAGCAACTATTTATCTTAAGAGCGTTTTTTCTCAGTCCAGATATTTTCAAAAATCTACTTAACACATTGACGACCGCTTGACACACCATGTGTGTCAAGCGATGACTACCACTATTTAGTACCAATGTGTTAAACATGCAATGGGTAAACAATATTCATTCTACAGATGCTACGTTTTCGAAAGAATTGGTTTATTTACGCCTGAATTGTGGCCAAGAAAGTTAAAGCAACGAAATTTCAATTTTGAGTGCAGCTGTGCGAGATGCTGGTGAAATTCTCACAGATGAGAGAGAAACTCAATTTCATCACTGTTGGAAAGTACATAAAGAAAGCTTTCCAGTGATATGCAGACTATACCGAAAAAGAAATTCTGAAGGAAAAATTTGTTTGAAAAGTAGGCCCAGACAAACCAAAAATTATTTTTGCGCAAAAATAATACTTCAAAACTAGTTGTAAGATGAACTTTTGTAGAATGAAACCCAAAGATTTGCGAAATAAACACACAGTTTGCAAATTTTTTGTGGACACCCTGTGCCTTGCATGGTGTAGATACATGCGTACGTGCGATTCTACCATCACTTACTTGAAAAATGATGTTCGAAAAATTTGCAAAAGAAAGGTTGTTAAGGTTAGAACGTGTCGGCGATGTTAAAAACATAAATCTCTGTGAACCAGAATGAAGATTAAGTGTAAGTTGAAAAGGGATTTTCAGAAAATGGAACCTCTAAACCTTAACCTTGGCAATAGTTTGAACTCCTTAATTTATTGAGTTTTCACGTATATACCATAACAAGCAAAGTATTATTTTTCATTAAAAAGGTAAAGCATACTTTCCTCTTTATTAAAAAGGTGAATTCTACCATTACTCTATCATCACTTTCCTCACCTCCTCCTTTTCTCCTTAGAAAATTGCGAACGACAAGGTTCAGCTTAGCACCTATAGTTGAAACGACCGAAAATTTCGTCGAACGAATGAATTTCGAGTAATCCGCTTTTGAAAAATATTCGAACGAACGAATATTATTCGATCTGTGGTTTTCAGAACATTCGAATTCGAATATTTAAATGATGCTACATTTCTAAATTCGAATGAACGAATATTCGTATAAATGGGGTTGGTCGAATATTCGACTATTCGAATAATCGAATAATTACATATGGCCGAATATTCGACTATTCGAATAATCGAATAATCATACATGTCCGAATATTCGACTATTCGAATAATTCGAATAATCTAGCGGCTCAAACAATGCTGGTTTTTTTTGTTGCGGTTTGCGAAAAAACTTAATCGCTATATTTGATCTAGATTTGTAGCTGTTAATTATATGTGTAGCAATACTTTTCATCATTATGCTCTGGCATGACTCGCGACTCATGCCCGAAAAAGGGAAGCTTGCTAGCCATTCTGTCATATGACGATTCATTTGTGTGATTGACCGATCGGGGACATACTTGTACTCAGTGTAGAACAGCTGAAGTTTTCTTTTGACATCGAATGTTCGAATAAATGTTCTTGAATATTCGAATGATCGAATGACTGTCTTTCAAGTTGCTCGAATATTCGAATATTCGAATAATTGTCTTTCAAAATTCCTCGAATATTCGAATATTTGAATTACTGTCTTTTAAAATTCCTCGAATGAACGAATTATTCGAATAGATGCCTTTCTCATTTATTCGACTATTCGAATAATCAAATAATTGGACTTCCTCGAATATTCGACTATTCGAATATTTGAATAGTCGAATATTTCGAATAAATTATTCGAACACGAATATTTGGTTCTAACTATATTAGCACCCATGTATTGTAGCATGTTTGAAGCCACCAGCGTTTGAAAAAGAAAGCGGTTGAGTTGAATTATTGCAAGATGGTAAGCGTAGTCCCCTTGGGAGGACTGATTTTGCACCACATGGTCACACTGAGCTAAGTGAACTTGACCATTTTCGCTCGAAGGTAGTGGCAAATTCTTTGCCTACCTGCGCTTTTCCGCTATTCTAATCATATTATCTTAAAAAGCGAGAAAACGGTGTCGTCAAGCTTTTTGAAGGCCCCTCAAAATGAATCTGAACAACGAGCTGAGAGATTTCCGTCTATGATACGCATAATCGCTGCAGTACCTTATGGTCATAGCCGCAGTGGTATGGGTCATGTACCTGCAGTTTGGAAACCGCAAACTTGCCCTGTTCTCCCATTAAGCTGTACGTTCCCAGCTTTTCAAGCCACATTAAATCAAACGTCATGACTTCGCACTCGAAAGCGATCACTACATTGCAGTGGCGTACCCAGGATTTCCGCTCGGGGGGGGGGGGCGACAAAAAAATTTTTTCGAATGAAGGTGCGTGGCCTTAGCCACGCACTCCGAAAATTTTTTAGGAGTGCTTCTCAAAATTTTTGCGGGCCCCCAACCCCTAAAATCCAGGAAAAGGGGGCGTAGCGTCAGCCACACCCCCGAAAAAAAATTTTTTTACAAGGCTAATTTGTATTTTTAAAAATTTTTATAAAAATACTTTAGTTATTTACAAGAATGAACAAGTCACTTGCACATTTTTACAACCCATATAAGTAACTTTCAAGAACTTCGCGACCCATTTTCGGAAGAGGGGCCCCCCCCATCCCTCGGGTACGCCACTGCTACATGGTATTAATATCCCACAAGCGGACACTGTTTTCAATAACTACAACAAAAAAATTTCCGATATTTTTGTCCGTTTTGCAGATTTCCTGATTCAAAGTGTTACAATTTTTTTGAATTCAATCTTTATATACAATTCGACGATTTACAAGTGCGAATTCTTAATGTTCATCTTTTCCACTTGTCGCGAATGAAAAACAAGTTGGATGATGGTATAAGGGCCTGCAGGATCGCGAGAGTCAGATGTGCGTCCGACGACTCAAGTAGGTGCCAGACTTATCTTGAACAGGTTCATTCGGTTCACCTCTTTTGCTGTTGGACAGTGTAGTGATTCGATCTATGAACCGAACGAACGGGCTGAAGCGGAGAAGTCTGGCATCTGCCTTAGTGACATCGGACGTGCGCGGCGCAATGGCCGTACGTCCTAATCTCGCGATCCTGCAGGCGCCTATATTTGCATGATCTTGCCTCTTGCCTGCCTCTCTGCCTCTTGCCTTAACACTATAGGTTTTTAAATGGGCAATTTTATGGGTGGTGTTGCGGTGATCCTCCAACTCAGACATTCGCCGCTGTCAACGCAGGTGTAACGGAGTTCCACTCATTGGGATCATGCGCGACACCTTAGTTATTGTCGGGACAATTCGGACATAGGGTCAAAACTGGGGTAGAAATGCCGGTTTAGCAATCATCACTTGCTTTTGATTCGGGACTTGCTTGCAGCACATTTTCGTGCCTACGTTCCCTTGATCATCCGAAAAAATTGAGAGCTTTTGTTGGCCTTTGCTTTAGTATCTGAGATATCGATAGAGCTCTTTCGCATTACCTCTGGAAAAGCGGCGCTCACGATTGGCTAAATATCTCTTTGAGTGATGGTTGATATCTTTGCAAATTTTTCTGTAGAAATGATTATTCAGAGGATTTGGTAGTAGAGAGAAAAGCTTATTTTTTGCCCTAGTAGATTCTGAATATGAGCTGGATACTTTTTGAGTCGAGAATCTTCAAAACGAAAAGGTACAAATTTACTTAGGATGGAGTAAGGAACTGTGCAAAAACGATAGTAAAGGCAGTCTACGGAGTCATCGCACAAAACAGAAAACCAGTAGATTAAAAGAGCTCTATTGATATCTGTGAATGCGGCCCAGGTGAAATCAGGATAAGGGAAAAAATGATAAGCAGGAGAGTGAGTGGTTTAAAAGCTAATAATGTTGTGGTCAGATGTGCCAAAAGGAGCAGACGTTTTGGTGGTGTGAATATCTTTGTTGGAAGAGAGAATAAGATCAATGGCTGCTTTTCATCTGGTGGGAAAGTTAATATGGTGACAGAGATTGCTATCAAAGATATAGGAATGGAGCTGTGAATTGTGAAGAAGTGATGGTGATAATACGTCAATATTGAAGTCTTCAAGAACGATGGTGTTAAAAGGAAGAGAGCAAAGATCGTAAAGAGCGTTTGCTAGTTTGACGTCATCGCTAGAACTAGAAGAGGGAGGGCGGTATACAACTATCACTTTGGGAGGAGAACGAGATGATACCGTTCAGAATTCACACAAAGAATGTCGGCTAGAAGGTCATTCTCGGAACGGACTTTCTCTACGGCAAGCTCTTCCGTGACCAGGAGACAAACTCCTCCGCCTCTGCAGTGAGTCCTGTCGACACGATGAATGGTGTAGGGAAGATCGGAGATGAGTTCGGAATCCTTGATTTTCGAACTGAGCCAAGTTTCCGTTAAACACAGGATATCAGAAAAATGAAAAACAAGAAATGCATGTAACGCCTGTTGTCTCAGTTCGTACTCCTGAGGCGTTCCGCAGCCGTCATACTCCTACGAATGAAGATGTTAGAAAATGCAGAGTGCCGTAGGAGATGGGCATTGGTGAGGGCTTGTTTCCAATGGACGCGAAACGGAAATGCCAGCTTTACGAGCAGCAGCCTATTAACATCAGCCTTCCGCATTCGAAAAATCTCCGTTGGCCGACAATCTATATTCAGAGTTTCCAAAATATCAGCAACACCTTTTTCCAGTTCAGCTCGCCTTTCCAAAAGCGGTTTATCCAATTCTGACTCCTTCAGACCTGCAACGACGATACTCCTTTGCCGTTTCTCCGTCTCAATATCTAAAGGAATTTTCGAACGGAGTGCTAGCAATATTTTTCCACGACCGGATCGCTTTTCTTACTTAAGAGACCATTAATTCGTTTACCGACATATTCTCAAAATCCTCCGTAGAGCTTTCATGATCTCCTATGGTAGGCTGCGATGAAGCGTTGGAGGTCGTACTCCTAATGACGCGTGAGAAGGTTGGTTGCGTATTTGACCTACTAGGACGTGCCGGCATGGTTGATTTATCGATTGAGGACGAATGAGAGGCTGATGAGGAAAAAAAGAAGATTATAGAGAAGTTCAGAATATATCTAAGATTGAGAAGAGCTTAGCCGGCAGCCGATAGAATATTCTGACGCGGAAAGAACGGGTACTCTAAAGACTCTGGAATGATAAAGATGCGAAAAAAGGAAATGATGATGAGTGTTTGGAGACCAGGTCCTTCGGGTGTGAGGTGACGAGGTAACGATAAAGATTTATTTCGTAGGAAAAAGCCCAAAATACATGGTAAAAGGGGTCTTTTTATATGGACAATGTCTACGTTAATGCGAGGGATGGTTGCTGAGGAATTAATGATTTAAGTATAATACAGAATTCAAAGAAAGCGAAATTAGGCTAAATGATTCATAACTAACGTACAAAACTGTGCAAGTACGGTAAAATTAAACCAATGCGCGTTATTCTCGCGGATGGAATACATAATGACTTCTGCGAACATCTGCGTGGGGGACTGTTTCACTATGTGGAATACGTAAGCAGGCTACGTGTTGTTACGGTATCAGAGAAAAAATATTTTGTAGAATTACAAAAACTCCCGAGGAAACAAAAGGAAAGAGAGACAGATATGTACAATAGATTAAACAGTAGTTCAACGTCTCTTCTGATTGAAGCGATAGAGATAATCCTGTCGAGATCGTATAAGGCCACTATAGAAGAAATATAAGAGAAAGAGGAGAGTTACAAACATGACTAAGATTCTGAATAGGTAAGAAGGGATAGTGGTTACAATTTGCCAGGCCTTCTCAATAGTCTGAGTCAAGGTCGTCAAGAATGGTACATGTCGTGGCGTATCATTTGTTATTGCTTCTACCACTGAGTATTCTTCCAGTGTTTTTCCTTCGATGTACTGAAGAACACCTTTGATAGTGATTGTTTGTACATTTGCTGGACACGAGATCTTGCATTCTGTGAGGATCGAAGACGTGTTGAAGTGGAAATGCAATTTATTGGAGTGCCCTTTGGTTGTGCATTGAGCCACTTGGTTCTCTTCCGAGCAGATGATGTTTGCTAAAGTGCTTCCAGAGCTACTTTTGCAAAAGAAGGTTACCTCCGCACCGGACATACAGTTGTAGCATCCTTTGACGTCGCTGGCCACGGTTTCACAAGAAGCATTGGTTTGACGGATTGTGATTTTCAATTTATCCGCCACAACGGCAATTGTAAAGCAGATCCGATGCCGGATTTTGCATAGACAGTTTTGTCTTTTGAGAAGATCATGAAGGTTTTTGAGATTTGTGGGAGAGGGGAAACTTGCATCAGTTTGTTCATGTCCCCAGAGCTACATACACAAGACGCTCTCTTGAGTGCGGTAGTACATGAGCAAGCTTTCGTGGAAAATGAACACTGAAAGTTTTTTGCCTTTTGGTACGACGAGCACTGTAGCTGTCCACCGCTTCTAGGAGTGAGAATGCCTCTGAAGGTGGGTTGGATGAGTGATATTTTTCCATCGGATTCCATGAAGGTTGCCGATAGAATAGGTAGTTGCGGTACCGTGGTTCCTGCGAGGGTGAACTTCAAGTTTTCCCAATGGAGTGTCTGTCCTGTGCGTAATAGAAGTGTGGTAGAGGAGGATTTGTTGGCTTGTTCTAATGTCAACTCGATGTTGACAGCTGTTTCCCAGCTTGGACATTTGAATACCTTGTAGATCTTAGAGGTTGTTGGATTCGCATAGATACGATAGAAGAGACAGCTAGGTTGACACATGAAGCATCCATCACATGCAATACAACCACAGCTTGCGGCGCAGAAAGTATAACCGGGTCTTTGATTAGCTAGTTCAGAGATTTCTTTCACTTTAGTGTTGTGTGCTGTAGTTTCACAAGCGTTCTCAACGCAGCTTCCTGCTAGGTAACATCGATGAATAGACTCTGTGAGTAGTTGATGGTCGCGGGTGTAGAAATCAATGACTTTTTGACAGCGAAAGTCTATGCCATGAATCTTCACAGACAGAAGTCCGATGGCGCTGTCGCGATGGTCCTTGATCACAAGGCATGATTCTTGCTGGAGTGGTTGGAGTGTGATTAGAGTGGCTTCGTTGAAGGTGCATAGTTCTCCCGTTTCGGTGGAAATACAGGTGTTTTCGCTCGCTGTAATTGAGACAACTTGAGAGCAGCAGCAGCTTTGCTGGATCTGCGAATGTACTAGACCGAGACAAAGGAGTAGATTGTACTTGTACATTTTCCTCCTGCGATTGGTATACGTCGGTGTCCTGCGGGATCTGCTGAAGAGGTAGGACTTGTTTGCGAAGCAGAGGCTGGATAGGACGGCTCTGATCAACCGCAGTAGTAAGCGTATGATTCTGTAAATGATACAGATCCAGACGGGAAGGATTAGAAGGAGTATTGCAAACAAGATTATTTGCAGGTAAGTCCAGCATTGAGTATTGTAGAGTCGTTCCCAGCAAAGTATGCACTGCATCGTTTCGCATATTGGTTGTGCTGGACAGAAGATCTGTATTTCTTCAGCTATGTTTTCTGGGGACCATGCTTTAATGATGACTTTGTAGTCATACATGATAAGCGAGTTTGGAAAGGGTATTTGGGAGGAGTATGCGTTCTCTCGGAAGATACAGTACTGGTCGATACAGGCTTCTATCATCTCCACGTTGTTGCCTTTTGACAAAGTTATTCCGCCTTTGGAACATGTTGCCGAAATGATTGTTTGCTTTTCAGGTTCTTCATTGAGGTTTTGAGATTCTTGAGAAACTGGTGGTCTTGTAGTAGAAGGAAAACCATAATGAGGTTTTGTAATGGTGCCCCAAGCTTTGAGTGGTATTGCGTCATGTTCGGTTGAGCCATTGACAATGAAGAGTGCGATTGGGTTGTCATACAGGCAGAACACACTTGCTGGTTCTCGACATTGATGTCTTTTGCAAAACCATGAAGATCCAGTAAAGTCACTACCAGCAAGTCTTTTCCATCCTTTACGATCGATGCAGAGAAGATCACCTTGAGTCACATAGTCTTTCATAATGACTGTAAGGTTCTCAACGAGAAGGGTGTTGTCGTCGAATAGTTGGATTTGATTGAATGTTCCGAGCTGTTTGACCGAGTCGCAGTTCTTATCCGGTTCAAAGGAACAAACAAAACTTGGTTGATAATGAAGAAGATTTTCTGGTATCAGACGTAATTCGGATCTTGCTGTGATGGATCCATTGTGGAATGAGCACGATGTTGCCCATTCGGGACACTGACATCTTGCTCCACACAACGATGACGGGGAGTAAGGTTCCTTGGCAAACAGTATTTCGAAACGGATGTGTCCAAACGGACATGAAACTGGGAAGTAGCAAAAATCCTCCTTGTACTTTGCTACGGCGATTCCGTTAGATTTACAGGTGGTGGCGTACAGAATAGTTTTGGAAGTTATGAATTCCTTTGGGTACTCGACAGAGGAGGCAAATGCTGTTCCGATAACCGACATGAGGCAAAGAAGGAGTGGAAGATTCACCTGTGCTCGTGCCTTCGATCGGGTTATCATAGGGTGATGAGGTTGTTGAGGTGTTCCTTTGGAAGATGAGGCTTTCGTATTGTCGATAAGTGGTGTTTCTTTCTCACCAGGCGGAATCTCTAATTTATGAATTAAAGAATTCGGGCGAGTGACGATTCGCTGAGAAGGAAGTTGAATCTGAACTGATCGTTGATATTCGTCTTGTGAGCCCACTATTTTTCCCATTTTCCATTGTCCGCGGTCCAAGGTTGAATCGTGAATCAATACAAGATCTCCAAGTCTGGGAGGATCCTTTTCATGTGATCTGGGAGCTGTATGTTCACTTTTATACTGTTCGCGCATTGTTGTAAGATATTCAGTGCTCCATCTTGTCCAAAATGTGGAAGTCAGGTTGGAGGTTCGATTCCAGTCAGCCATTAAAGTGTCCCTGGTAGCGTGAATTGGTGACCATTGATCTTGGCAATCGGTCGGGTAAAGGCTGGAAAGTCGGGCGTGAGGACGGATGAAGTCAATAGGGCGCAAAGGTCTGAAGGAAATCTCGTCGCTATAGTATGTGAGTGGTCGGGTGTTGACGATTGTTTCGGCCTCTTTGGCCACGGTCCGTACTTCGTCTATGTCGAGAATGCGATTAGCAATAGCATGTTTGTATGACTTTTTGAAAATATCTATCATTTTCTCGTAGATTCCTCCTTGCCAAGGACTAAGACTTGGTATGAATTTCATCTGGATCCGGTTGTTAGCACAGTAGTCGATTATATCCTCGTCAACGTTTGGCACCGCTAGAGAGGAGTAACACTGATTGATGGTCTTAAAAGACTGTGCATTATCACATATGATCCATCTCGGGCAGCCGCAGGTCGCGATGAATCGTCTCAGCACATGTAGAACAGTGGTCGTTGTCATATCAAGTACTACATCCACATATATTGCTCTACAGTTTAGGCACGTGAACAGTAGCATCCAGTATTTTCCGACAAGGCCCTCGTTGTGTCTGTACTGCATGGGACCAAAAAAGTCCATTCCGACGTTTTCGAATGGGTATTGTGGTGGATTTACTCTTCGTTCTGGATGTAGCGGAAAGGGTGGAAGAGCATAAGGCTTTGATCTGATTTTCTTGCAATGAAAACACTCGTTATAGAGAATCTTTTTTACAGTCGTACGTCCTTTGGGGATCCATACTCGTTCTCTGAGAAGTGTGAGTGTATGATTCACTCCACAGTGGTTGTGAGTTTGATGGACGTGCAGTACAAACAACATCGTGACACGACTTTCACGTGGGAGGAAGATTGGTGTGATTGTTTCTGGTGGCAACTTTGCATGTTCGATACATCCCTGACATTTCCATAAATGAGTCCTTTCACAGACGAAGAGATGAAGCCGGTTTTTGTCCTCATCGGAAGGGGGATGTAAAGACTGGGCAAGGCAAAATAGGATGATTTCGCCTTTTTGTAGTAGTGCAACCTTACCACTACCAAACCAATCTGCAGCTTTTTTAGACTCCGTTGTGATGAACTTGAGTACGAACATCGTTGTTATGAGTAAGCGGGTCCAGGAACTAAAGCGATTCACGTTTGGCAAAGAATTACTTGTAACTTCTGAAGCGTTCTTGAGTTTTTTGTTCTTGGATACTTGGGTAGTCGACACTACATAGTGTACTTGTGGTATCAGCTTTCCTTGATGAAGGTCAGAACATACTTCCTGCAACTCGCTGCGTGCATTTTCTGGCCATGTGTTCTCGTCTTCCAGAAGAAAGGTTGGTCCGTGCCACCATATTTGATTTTCCATGAGTTCTTGGGGTAAACATCCTCGGGTCCCCAAATCCGCGGGATTTTGTTCGCTGGGCACGTGCAATAAGTATACGTCAGAGGTATTAGACAGTATCACGTTGACTCGATTTTTGACAAAAATGGGTAGGTTCTTGTTGTTCTTGGTCCAATATAGTGCTACAAGGCTGTCAGTCCACAAGAACTTTTTTGAGATTTGCATGTCAAGTTCTTTCGTGACATACGTGAGCAGTTTCGATCCCATCATCAGAGCAGTGATTTCCAAACGTGGAATAGTCATGGAGTGGCTGAGTGGCGCTAATCGACTCTTGGACATCACCAAGGAAGCTCTGATTGGTTTATCATTTGCCTTTTGCACAATGTAAGCCACGGCACAATAGGCGGCAGGGGATGCGTCGGCGAATACGTGAAGATCGTACTCATAGGAGATTTCTTCTCCACAGTCTATGATGAGTTTGGGTGTTGATAACTCTGAGGTCGTCCATGCTGAAATGATTTCTTGCCACTGCGCTTCCTTTTCTGAAGGTAATGTTTCATCCCATAAAAGTTTCTCTTTCCATAGAGATTGAAGGAAGATCTTACCGGGGAGCGTTGAGGGAGAGAGTAGGCCAAGAGGGTCGTAGATACTAGCGATGTGTTTCAGAACTTTCCTTTTCGTCCAAGGATCTTTGTTGGAGGTTCTTTCTGGGAGTGGTAGGATAAGGTTGTCATTGATGATATCCCATTTCAAACCTAGGAGCTTCTGCATGTTGCGAATGGCTTCTGTCTCTCTCATTCCGAAATACTCGTTCAGTTTTTCTGCATTACTGGCGAAGGCTCGTAAGTTCATGCCAGCTAGTCTGAAGATTTCTTTGGTCTTTCTGTAAAAAAGGATTCCATCATCGATGTTTTTGGCGCCATAGAATACGTTATCGACGTAGGTGTTCCGAATTAAATGACGAGATAAATCAGTTGCCGTTGATGCGAGATGGAAATGTATAGTGCCGGCCAACAAGAACGGAGAGCTTACTAGCCCGAAAGGAACACGCGTAAAGCGATACGTGACTATATTTTCGGGGCAGAGTGATGCAGTCGGATCGTCCAACCATAAAAATCGGGTGTAATCTCGAGAATTACGGTTTAGACCAACCATAAGAAATGCTTTTTCTATGTCGCTAGAAATAAGATACTTGCACAACCTGCTCCGGATAATGATACCGACGAGATCAGGAAGGAGAACTGGTCCCCTGTACAATGCTTCGTTTAGGCTCAAATGGCCCTTCATTTTCACGGAGCCATCGTATACACAACGAATTTTCAGGCCTTTGTCGTCCCTCTTTACAACGCCATGATGAGGTAGATAATGACATGGCCTGTAAAGTTCATCGTTTGGTACATATTCAATAATATTTCTTCGCAGTTGGTCCTGAATCACTGCATGATACATCTTCAAGTATGATGGATTTTGCTGTAACTGCTTCAGTTGGCTGCGAAGGCGGGAATACGCTAGTGAGTAGTTGTCTGGGACGTTTGCTGGATCCTCTTTGAAAGGTAGCGAGACGACATAACGTTTCTCTTTACGATCATAGTATATGGTGTTGTTGAAATAATCAAGGCACTCTGTATCTTCACATTGATTTGGGTTATCCAGTATCCCTATCGATTCGAGTTTCCAAAATCGACTGACCATTTCACATAAGTCGTTGTGGTGTGCCGGATTTGCCATATCATTATTTTCGACAGCGACGAGGCTACAATTGTTGTATCTCGTATCGAGGGCTTTGTTCAGGATGATGTCGCCGATCGTAGTGTTAAGGAGGCGATGCCCTTCGGACAAGTTCTTGTAGTAGAAATTGTGTGAGAGTATGAGGTTCCAAAAGTAATCATTTCCAATCAGTATCGATGGGTTACAAGAGCTTACGGATAAGTCGCTGTCGGGTGCAATTTGTGCTACATCTCCAACCACGAAGGGAGTAGATTTCACCGTCAAACATTTGGCACCATTCTGTTTCTATCTCCACTCTGTAAACCGAGCATTTCATTCTTCGTGGCGTCCTTTCTCCAAAGGTCGAAACAGTAACTGTCTCGGTTGTGACATCAGGTAGATCAAGAATAGTCGCCAGTTCATCCGTGATATAGGAAATGCTAGAACCAGAATCAAGAAAGGCGGTTACGGTGACATGATGCGATGAATCATCGGGATTGAACAGCTTGACTTCAGCACACATCAAGGGGATCGGTCGGTTGGAGGTTTCATTCGACATAAAGGTGACGTTGGTTAAAGTGTCTTCTGAGGAAATCGTGGGTACCGATTGTTCTGTTTCTGACGATGGTTGATTGTCAATGATTGCAGAGTGAGCGAGGTCGAAGTGGACAGTGCGATTATGACGTCTTGATGGAGAAGTGTTAGGAGAATATGGCTTGCCATGTTGAATTTCTGGACGAGGAATTGAATGTCGAGTATACTCTTTTCTCCCGCGATGGGTGTCTTGACGCGAAGTGGGTTGTGTTGGACGGGAAGGGGATTGTGACCTTGAGGATGTGCAAAGTGAAGTATGGTGTTTCCTCGCGCATATCCTGCAACGAAATTTTGACGGACAATCTCTCGTGTTGTGATGAGGAGAAAGACAATTATAACAAAGCCGCCGTTTTCGTGCTTCTTCAGAACGTTGTCGAGGGGTAGCGTATTTCGGGCAGTTCAGAGACGAGTGATTGCTAGAGTTGCAAAATGAGCAATTTTGCGGATGCCTTGTGCCAGTGGGTTTGAGACGAGTGGATTGAGACTGCTTATTGGCTACATACGCTCCTTGATGAAAGCTTGGATGTTGTTGCTTCGAGTAAAAATTCATTTCAGAAAGCGTGGATTCTTTGCGTACTATGTTCGTGAGTAGGTGCAGGAGCTCCGTGGGAGAAACATTGTGATCGTGTTGAGTCCGGTCGTAAATTTGACTTCTGACGTGGGGAGGGAGCTTATTCAGGAGGAGGGCTCCGAGGGCCTTTTCGCTTGAATCATCGGTGCCATTGCAGAACTGTCGAACAAGCGAGTACATCTGGTTATAAAGAGAGAGAAGATTTTTGCCCTCGAGATCGCAGGCTGGAAGTGAGGCTAGCTTTGTGTACAGGATGTGTTTTAAGGTGACTTTATCGTCAAAGTGTGTGCGAAGGATATCCATTGCCACCTTGTAATTGGCAGGAGTTATGGATAAACCCTGGATGACGTGCAGTGCTTTGCCTCGCAAACATGATTTCAGGAGAGAAAACTTGGTGGTGTCATCCAGCTGGAGTTTGTTTCCCACTAAGGTAGCGAATCTAGACTGAAATTCTGGGTAATCGAGAAGGTTTCCATCAAAGGTGGGCAGCTCGAGCTTGGATAGAATGGAGGCGTCGACAAAGTTCAATAGAGATGGATCCGAGATTTGATGGATGGTAGAAGTATGGAGCGTACCGCGATTCCAAAGTTGGTCCTCATCTGGAGTATGAGTTTCAGACGAAATAGAGGAAGCAGGCAGACGACGGCGTGCAAACTCTTGATCAATAGAATTCAAAAGAACGTCAAGCACTTCCAGTTGTTTTACGGCATCAGCGATACTGTCATGATAATCTCCATATTTTTTGATGTATTTAGCTAGTACCTGCTGCTCTTCAGGGTTGGCTTGTTGGAGTGTATTCCATTCCTCGTCCAGTTTTGTGATTTTGGCATAGTTCTTGAGCAGGTTGGAACGGATGGTGGTGAGTTCCAGGCGGAAGGTTTCGATTGCATCATCGTCAAGAACCTCGAGTCGTGGAGCAGTTGGTGAAATACCATATTCCCTCAGTGAATCGGTTGCCTCAGAACAGAATTTTTGCAATTGCTTCTTGAAGAAGCCTATCTGTCGTCGGATATTGGCACTGCTATTAGACATTGCTGCAGTTTAGAGAAAACGTGCGTCTGATTGCTTCTTCTCTAAAGGTTGGCTTGTTTCGATCAAGGTGCGTGGGTTGCTTCTCAGTCGTGAAGCCGTCAAGGTGCGTGGGTTGCTTCTCAGTCGTGAAGCCGTCAAGGTGCGTGGGTTGCTTCTCAGTCGTGTAGAGGTGTCCTGCCAGGGTCGCCACTGTTTGGAGACCAGGTCCTTCGGATGTGAGGTGACGAGGTAACGATAAAGATTTATTTCGTAGGAAAAAGCCCAAAATACATGGTAAAAGGGGTCTTTTTATATGGACAATGTCTACGTTAATGCGAGGGATGGTTGCTGAGGAATTAATGATTTAAGTATAATACAGAATTCAAAGAAAGCGAAATTAGGCTAAATGATTCATAACTAACGTACAAAACTGTGCAAGTACGGTAAAATTAAACCAATGCGCGTTATTCTCGCGGATGGAATACATAATGACTTCTGCGAACATCTGCGTGGGGGACTGTTTCACTATGTGGAATACGTAAGCAGGCTACGTGTTGTTACGGTATCAGAGAAAAAATATTTTGTAGAATTACAAAAACGATAGAAAAGACGAATTGCTCAGGGGGCGCGCAGAGGTTATTTGATAATAGTATAACCTATTACTTAGGGAATTTGCTGAAACTTCGCTTTTGGGTGCATTCACTTTGTTGAATTATCGCTTTTGCCTCTGAGAACAAAAAAAAACAGAAAGAGCTACGTCTTGCTGGAAGAAAAGGATCAGTCAATCCATGCGGCAGTACACTGCTAAACATTCCTGCTAAAAACTACATTTGGGTGCTTCTATATTGTGAAAACATTGTCTTTGCTTCTAAAAGCAAATGAGCAGAAGGAGCTTGGTCTGCTGGAAGAAAAGACCCAAAGACTCCACACGCGAACACATTTTTGCCAACTATATTTTGATATCAATTTCACGGAAACTTCTGAACGCTTTTAGCCGCTTCTACATTGCGAAAATCATACTCTGCTTTAAAAAGCAAAAAAAGCAAAGGGAGCTTTGTCTCGAAGGAAGGAAAGCTCCAATGGTTTCATGCGGCAGTGTACTTCTGCTAAAAAATCTTTCTCATTTTCAGTGTCTCTGACAAAATTTGAGTTGCGATAAATCGTCGTGACGGAAAGAAATTATGATTTTTTGAAACTGAGTAGGTGACAACAGGGACATTGGAGTTACGATAGATTCCATGTCTTTTTGCATATAGTACCGGGGTATTCTATTCAGGTCGACCTAGGTCAACCTACCTGCTACGTGTTTATAAATGACTAGCTTTACTCCCAAAGTTTGCAAATGCCGGGACATCGTGAAGGATTGGCTGGGGTAAACCTAGGGTTAACATTCCACATTCAAATAGCTAAAGTGCAAAATTCCATTTTTCTTATGCATTGGGGAAGTGAAAATTAGTCTTGCTGCGGATTGTTCTGTCTAGTTTGGAATGATTCGGAACGCAAGCAACTAAGATTAGAAAAAGGCCAACGAATTGTACGCCTTGGAAGGGTTATCACGAAAACTTTATTAGCGATATGAATTTGAGTCATTTCATGAAGTTTTTCATAGATTTTTGTCCACATCTGGCGATCGACCATGTTCTTTTTCACCGCTGGATTTTTCAACATTTCTTCTTGATACAATACTGCGATCACTCTGACATGTAAAAATGCATTTTCAATTACAACACACTCGGTATAGAAATGGTGAGGTTTGAAGCAAGATTAAGAACAAAGTTGAAGGAAGCTTAGCATGCACCAACCTGCTCCGATTCTGCACGTCTGCTAGTGCAGGCTCCTTTACAGCATTGTGTAGCTGCCACGACTATCAATAATATTACCATACCAACAAGGGGGACCACAATTATTGTAAAGCCGTGATAAAACTGAAGGTAATCTCTGTATTCCGAAAAAATTTTTTTCCTTTATGACTTTCAATTTAGTGACTAGTCTCACGTGAAGAACAACCCAACTACTAATGAAAAGTTTTTTCTGACTCACGGATCTATGTATGTCTGTGAATTCAACATTTGTTTCAAAGGTAAGCATCGTCCCGTTGTTTGGAGCAGGTTCGATCTCAAGAAAATAGCACATCAATGGATAGAGATCAATATTTTGAGGAATCCGGTCTATCTGGAACTTATGGATGCAGAGGTGGTTGAGGTATGAACGGGTCATTTTAACTCAATATATGAGTCTGCACACTAAGCGCGGCAATTCCCAAATTTTACTGATAGTAATTCGTCTAAAACCTTTTTAGCAAAACATGGTTTGGAGCGCAATACCATCTGATACTTATCCAGATAAGCTGAAAGTGGAGGAAAAAATGAGAAATGCCCAGTTTTTGACCTCTCAGGAAAATTGAGTAGTAAAGTGCTTCTTGTACAACTAGGGAGTTATGAATGACAAAACTACAATTACTTCTATTTTATTGCAATTCTGTAACAACGAATGACTTAATACAAGCACATCTATTTTCTCAATCTACAGCTTTCCAAATTAGAATTATTTATTGTGGAGGTGAGCCTAACGCAAAAAGTGACTTCTTTTTAACACTTTCACAACAATACGACCCACCGGTGGGTCGTAAGATTCCTGAAGCTCTAGCTTTGCCAGTATGCTTCTGGCACATGATTGGGGACACCGGTTCTGGCACATGATTGGGGACACCTTGGCGAAGCTCCGGCCAGAGTGGTCCGGGTTTGGGATTGTTGATGATTTCTTTATCATCAACCATTGATGAAATCTATATTCTATGTAGCCAACGGAATCCCCAATAGGCTAAATGGTGAGCTACTCACTCTTGAGTATCTAATCACTCAAGAGTGAGTGGTACCCTGCGCCAGGAGTGTAGCCAATCGGCGGCATCTTCTGTCAAGCATTAACTCGTGTATATTGTACCCTGTACTCGGGTCAGCTCCGCCTTTCGTATATAAGGAGCCTCCGTATGTATTAGAGGTTGCTCCCCGGTCCATACCGGGGCAACCTCAAACTCTCATACTCCACAACTCGTCTACTCCCTAATCACTTGGTACCCACTATACTTGGGTCCGAATCGAATAGAAATTCGATCATTCGAATAAAACATTCGAATATATTCGATTCGAAAATTCGATATTCGGAGTTTTTCCATTTTCGAATAATATTCGAAACTCGAATAATTGAGTAGACGGGGTTTCGAATAAAATTCGAAACTCGAATAATCAAAAAACAGGATTTCGAATAAAATTCGAAACTCGAATAATCAAAAAACAGGATTTCGAATAAAATTCGAAAACTCGAATAATCGAAAAGCGGGTTTTCGAATAGATTTTATTCGAATGTTTTATTCGAATGTTTATTCGAATTCGTATTCGAATGAACTCCGTATCCAAATTATTCGAGTTTGTTGCAGAGCCAACTGTGAGTACCAAGCTCGCTTTGTTTTCGTATTTTTTTTTACAAGACCAGGTAATGCATCTTTTTTGCAACCGTAACGACCTTTGAACTGTATGGAAAGTCGCATTCCTCCGACTGCTTGCGACATTAAAAAAATAAATGTGGATTTTAATTGATGCTTTTTCGATCAATGAGTTACAGATGTCTTCAGATGTAACGCCAGCTCACCACAGATGTATAGCGTGTGCAAGCCTCATTTTTAAATTTTAGCTCCAGCCAATTTCATTTGCTGCTACTCTGCTAAACTGCCCTTGAAATGTAGTGGACGCCGATCGATTTTATCGATTTTTGGGGACCTTTGAGCTACGGGGCTGGGAGTTGGTACAGGGGGGTAAGTGAGAGTGCTGATTTAAACAAAATTTTTGTTTATCGATTTCACCGATTTCTTTCTGGAAAAGCTTGAGCTAGGAGTTGGTGTAGGGGATATGAGGGTGCTGATTATGAATGAATCGGTTTTAGCCAGAAATGTCAGCAAGTTTTAGATATGTTGCAGTAGTTATTCGAAAAATCATTCGAATATCTATTCGAAATTCAACTCCCAATGTTCGAATATATTCGATATTCATTCATTCGATATTTTTTATTTTCTGAATTTATTCGAAATTCATTCATTCGAGTTTTTTTCATTTTCGAATTTATTCGATATTCGTTTATTCGGGTTTTTTTCATTTTCGAATTTATTCGATATTCGTTTATTCGAAATTTTTCATTTTCGAATTTATTCGATATTCATTCATTCGATGAAAAATTTTCGAATTACCCAAGTATAGTACCCACCAAAGGGATACTGTAGCGTAGTGTTACGGTAGGTATAAAGCAGACAGAGGTAAGGCACAGCTCGAGCTCAAATTTTTCAGTGGTGCTGTTTTTGAAAATTCAAGTTTACATGCACGAGAAATACAGGGAAGGTATGAGACCGATGTCAGCCCATCAAAAACCATCGATTTTAACGATTTTATCGATTGTTCGCATTGTTCATCCCAGGAAGCTCAAACCTTACATACTAGGTCATTTCAAATGTTCGTTCGCATTGTTCTCTAAAAAATCGTAACTCTCTGCTATCTGCCTAGATTTGCCTGAAATAATCTTTACTAGAACGGAGAGATCATGTAGTTTTTGACAACGGCTTAAATTCGTTCTACCAAGCACAAGTCGCAGAGTTAAAAATGCAAAAAGAAGACCACTCAAATTTTGGTAATTTCATAAAAGCTCACCAAAAATCTTGAAACTTTACAAAAAATACCGAAATAAACACAAACATATGTTTTATGTTCTCATCTTTCCAGCTAGGCAAACTCCTTGTTGAACTGCTGTTCTTATGAAAAGTAATGATTTTTTTTTAGGAATTTGCTATACGTTTCCATGAAAATTAAAATTGCTCCCCTTAACACAGAAATCCCTTAGCTAGAAAAAGAAGATCACAAAACCTCAGTTCTTGGCTTTCCCTCCTTTTTTGTGACGTTTTTGGGCTTTTTGGGCATGCTCAAATTGCAAAACTGAAGTAATTCTCTTTATTTGCTTATAACTTTCGATCTTTTTCGTTCTAATTCGTGGAAAAGGCATTATAGTAAAGAGCATAATTTTCTCTATCAAATATTTACACGTTCGGAATTTTTCGTGGTCCAGCTTAAAAAATGCCAATCTTGAGTTAATTTATTCAATTGCTTCTATCTCTCGAACTTTCTCACGTCATTTTATGGCGAAGATACTATTGTAAAGAGAAAGGTTTCTTTTTTCAAACAAAAATCAAAACGATTCCATCAAGAAGTAAGGAAGTTATGATTTTTTGAAAAACTGGCGAACGAACTTTTGAAATGACCTAATATATAGGTTTTCTAGCATGCTGATTACGAAATGATAGCCTCGAGTTCTAATACCGCCTTCTTACATCAGTTCCTCAATTCCTACGAAAATTTTGCCGTACTGCTACCGTAGTCTCACTGTGGGAAAGTAGTGAAAGTGGACATTATAATCGCAATCAGCACGTGAAATAACCCCAAAACACAATTTTTCATGGAATTCCATGATGTTGGATTTGTACAGAATGACACCGTAACCTTACGGTATACCGAATTGATATTGCCAGTGAAATAAATCTCATTTTGGTAATCAGCGCCTTCGATAACCCTTGAGGGGAAATTCTCGGAGACATGTTTTGAAATCCTTCCAAAAAAACTACCATTTCGGATAATATGACCCACGGGTGGGTCGTAACTTTGAAAGCAAAAAAGGCTCTAGTCTGAAACGGCAGTAATCGAAAAATCGGCATTGTCGTGAATGTGTTAAGAAAATGAAAACTTGAAAAAGACCAAAGAAATCCTACTATTCTTTTTGATGATTTTCACCGGAAATTCACATTCGACCAACTACCTTGTACTTTATCAACAGAAAGGCCATAATTCTTGCATGAAGTGCAATCGTAATCAGCACGTCAGATAACTTTCACAACAAAAATTTGCAAAAAACCAAAGATTTTTAATTTTGGTATGAAAAGACAGCAGTGTTCCGCTGAAAAGGAATAGCAAGGACTCAAACTCAATAGAATTTGCAAGGCGTACTTTGTGCACTCATCACTCTAAAAACTGCATTTTTGGAACCTAAATGAATTACTTGTAGCACGCCAAGTTCGAATGTCGTACTATCCCGTGATGTTGTTTTTCGCATCCTGGATGGCTAGGGGCTAGATTTCGCAAGGCTTGTACGAGTATTCACGCCTCTGACAAGGGAGGAAACATGACCGTTTGCTTTGAAGATTCAATATAAACCAGCATAAAAAACGTACCGAAGAACTTTTGCATATAGCAGCACCCTTCGGTAGGCTAACTCATATCCGCGTTTCTTGTATGCTGTGCGTTTTTGTAATGAAAATTTTAGCGCTTTTTTTCCTCGTATTGGCACTCCGAACAGCGTAGCATACAACACGCCGTTCCATCGCCTTACGATCCTTCCCGCAGGACAACTGCTACCGGTTCATTGCATGCCCATAATCTCAATTTTCGTTTGTGATAGTTAGTTGCGATTGATCGTGTCGGATAACTACCATAACCGAAATGCAAGATGACAGAATGGCGGTGATCTGGTAACAGTTGTCTTGTTGAGAGAATAGCGAGGCGATGAAATCGTGTGATGTATGCCCAGCCCTTTAGACAAACGATGTTTGCTGGTATAACAAACAAAAATGTGATGCATATCATTGGACTGGCTTTAAGAAAATGATCTAGTTGGTTCTTGTTCAGACAGCACAATGCAAGTTACCAAAACCCACCGCACACCAGCTTTGCGTCCCCGCTCTTAAGAGCGCGAAATCAGTGGAGGCAAAATGCTCATTTACTCTTGTGATGTAGGCAGAGAATTCGTGTATGATGATGTTGGCTACATCTTTACATTCTAAGAAGTTCTTTCAATTTTGAGAAACTTGACGGATTGGAGTTTGATGTACATGAAAAATCGGAAAGGGTGAAAACTTCAAAAACAGAAACTTCCAGTTATGCACCTGAAAGTGAATCTTGTGAATTCAACCGAGTAAAAATAGTTCGAAGAGTTGTCAAATTCAAAGTCCATCAATCGATTTTTGCAGCCTCTTCCCCCTTACAAACAAAACTTATGCCATCGCTATCACATGAGCCGCCACATATACCGACCTTCGCCTGTACTCCTCTCCTCCGACCCTCCCCCATTACCACTGCTCCTCTTTT